GAAGAGGAGGAGGAGGAGGAGGACGACGACTGTGGAGTCCTTGGTGCTCTCTGAGCTGGGTAGTTTTCTTGCAGACGTTTCATGACCCAACTAGGTAACATCCTCAGTGCTAGGACGATGTCAAATGCACTGAGGATGTTACTTAATTTAGGTCATGAAACGTCTGCAAGAAAACTACCCAGCTCAGAGAGCAACAAGCACCCCACAGTCCTCCTCTTCCTCCTCCCCCTCCTCCTCCTCTCTGCACCCCCCCACCCTTCTAGCACTGATGCTGTTACCTAGTTGGGTCGTGAAGCGTCTGCAAGAAAACCACCCAGCTCAGAGAGTTAGGGAGGGACCGGAGTGGGGTGCTTCCCGTTGGCAGGAAAACTGGAGGAGGCCCAGCGAGGGGATGGGTCGGGAGGGGACAGAGGCTCCCCCCCCAGGAAAACCCCACTGCTTGCTACCTTCCAAATCATTAGCAAAATAAACCTCTGAATCTTATAAGTAAGAGTTATTGTTTTGTGTTGCTGCCTTTTGTCTTTTCCATTGGGGTTTTCCCACGGCAGTTGAACCCACAGACCAAGTGGGGGTTTGGGAGACTGGAGTCAGCCATGTGGAAGGGAATGCTCTGCTGGAAGGATCACATCAATGCCGCTAAAGTGGGTCAGGGGGCGATTCCCTTGGACCCCCCCCTCTCCAGGACGAGTCGCTCTCCCGGACCCCGCGCCCATATCCCAAGGCTGCTTTGCCCAAGCACCCAAGCAGCAGCACCGAAGCCAGGCCAGAGCGGGGAACAGCCGAAGCGCAACCACCGCGAGGCGCGAGGGCAGAAGGTTGAAAATAGAGACCCCAACCACCCAGAGGAGGGGAGGGGGGCGCACGCGAGGGTCTAGGATAACTCGCCACGGCCACTTCGCCGTGGGACTACTTGCCACGGGACAATTCAGTGCCGTCCGAATCGTTTTGTTCGGTTGGTTTGACGGTTGGGTGACCCCCGTTTTCCATCTGGAAAATAACTGGGACGCTCGTCCTTCCAGGTGAAATCTTATTTTGTTCTCGTCGGCCGCGGTTCCGTCGGAATTAATTTAACTTTGGCTATTGGCTGAATTGTCCTGCAAATGAGTCACGCTGCGGGCAGTTGGCCATGGGGAGGGGTCCCATTCTGAGGGGGGGGAGAATGGCCAGCCCTGGCTAAAGGGTCGTCCGGAGCCGGCCGCAGAGGCCCTGCCCTTGGCCAGTGGGCACAGTCGTTACATCTAGAGGAAGCCGGCGGAGCGAGTGCGAGAAACCGATCCGTGTCCGGAGTCTGGCGGGACAAGACCCACCGCCGAGGTCTCAAACCTGAGACCTTGAACGGGGGCATTGAAGCTAATTATCTGCAACTGGGAGCCCAGCAGCCCTTCGGGTGGCTAATGTACTATCTCCAAGGGCAGCCCCACAGACCGGGCATGGCAGAAGTCAATCCGAGAGGTCAATAGCCCGGCTCAGCTCAAGCCGAGATCCTTTTTCCCTCCTGGAAGCGGGCAAACAGCTCCAAAGTCACTGCTGGGCGCGGGAAGAGTCTGAATGAAGGGTGCGGGTCAGAAAAGTCAAGATGGCGGCTGCCCCTAAACCCCGGGCCAAGTTCGGGTGTGACTTTTATTTCCGAGGCCTGTGTGTCGCCCACCAGGTTGAGCAGGTCCCTTCCGTTCCCTTGGGTACCTATTGTGCACCCCCGGGGCTTATACGGGAGACGCTCGCGCAGGTAGTTTTGCCTCTGCAAAAGTGAGGGAAACAGGCGGGTTGCTAAGCCAGCGCAAGAGGTTGCTTCCGCAAAGGGTGCAGAAAACCGGCCTCGGGGCTAACCACGATCGAACAGGAAACCCCTTCCCCCTGCCAAGCGCCCGGTGGTGGCCCCACCCTCCTGCCCCCTTCACTCACCTGACGATGCTGCAGTCTGTGGGGTAGGGCGGTGGTGGGGTGCAGTGGGAGGTGGACGGCATGGAGAGGGGAGGGGCCAGCGTCTGGGTGGGGCTCAGCCCGTTCATGTCGCCCGCCATCGTCATGTGGCCTCCCATCATCGGAACTGGGCGGGAGAAGGGAAGAAATGGCAGGTCAAAGACAAGCTGGGGAATTCTGGGAGTCGAAGTCCAGCCCTCTTAAGGCATTCAGGCTGGTGGATTCTGGGAGCTGAAGTCCACCCCTCTTAAAGCATGCTGGCTGGGGAATTCTGGGAGTGGAAGTCCAGCCATCTTAAAGCATGCTGACTGGTGGATTCTGGGAGTTGAAGTCCATCCCTCTCAAAGCAGGCTGGCTGGTGGATTCTGGGAGTCGAAGGCCAGCCATCGTCAAGTGGCCATGTTTGAGAAACACTGTGGGTCTAATGTCACAGATTTTGGAATTACAGTCGGTTGCCATGCACCCAAATACAATTTGTGTGTGGCCGCCAGAACTTGAAAAACCCATCACAATTGGGAGCAACAACCTTGCTCCCAATTGTGGTGGGAGGACTACTTTGCAAAACTGGGATCTCCATCCATAATTTGCACACCAGCCAT